CCCGGGGGAACTCGCCTCCAGGAGGCCTTCAGTAGCCCTGTCTGACACTCAGCCCCAAACCCAAGAAGTGTTTTAATTGTGGTAAAATATATATAAAATAAAACTTTACATTTTTAAAGTGTATAGTTCAGTCTGCCTTCACTCTTTACTTGAGGAATTTAAAATGCTTAAGGGAAACTGCTTGTGAAAGGAACTTACACCCCAGATGAAGAAATCTTCCATTTGGAGTCTAACACATTTGACTGAAACTGTAATTAAAAATAATAATAAATATATATATGTATATATGTGTGTATATATATATATACACACACACATATATGTGTGTATATGGCAGTGTTTTAGTTCTTAGTTTCTAAACTCGGTGTCCTGTGACTTCAGTCAGTTGGAGAAAGTTGAAATCTGAAACCCCTGACCCCTATTCTAGGCGTAACTGACAATTTACTCATTATTTATGCTAACAATCACTGCACAAAATAGTTGAGCACTGACATTATCCAGTGAAATACAGACTGAATTCAGACTCCAAGGGCACTGCCTACCAGAGGAAGGACAGGGCTTAAGGACAAACGGTCTTGAGTCCATGTACCAGATCAGGAGTGATCAGAGCAAAGGAAGGAAAGAAGGGAAGAGACTCCAGGTGGCTCTCTTCAAAAGGTGAAGAACTCAGAGTTCCCAGGCTCCTCCTCCCCCTCCTTCAGGAAGAGTCTCAGTGGCAGCCTGGGCGTCTCTGCCAGCGGGCGCACCTGGCCGCTCTGTCCTCCAGAAGCTGGCAGATCCGTATCAGTAAGCTCAGCTCACACTCCCCTCTGCCATGGCCTCAGACCCCTCTGAGGGAATTCTCACACTGCGTTTATTCAGTGCTGAACTTCCACCAGGAGCATTGGATTTGTCACAGGAAGCAGTGTTGATAGCAATCAGGCAGGTGCCCTGCCCACCCACCCTCAGGAGTGTGATAAGGGACCTAGAATCTTCTACCCAAAAAGGAAACCTCTCTTATCCCTCATTCCTCGATTATCCTGACAGAAGTATGTGGAATACCAGCTAAAACTGATCCCAGAGCAAAAACAGAAGCTCCAGGAGGGGCGGGGCCAGGTCTGCCTTATTCTCTGCTGTGCACCCAGCACAGGGCCTGATGCACTCAGTACTGACTCTTTGTTTTTTGTTTTTTTAATCAATAATTTAAAAAAAATTTTTTATTGACTTGAGAGAGAGGAAGGGAGAGGGAGAGAGAAACATCGATGTGGGAGAGAGACATCAATCAGTTGCTTCCCACACCAGGAATCAAAGCCGCAACCTGAGTATGTATCCTAAGCAGGAATCAAACTGGCAACCTTTGGGTGCAAGGGATGGTGTTCAACCAACTGAGCCTCAGCAGCGCTCAGTGCTCACTCGTGAGAGAAGGAGCACATACACCCTCCCGATTTTCCCATCAAATAAGCAGTGGGGACAGGGAAACCTTCACGACTACTCTGTGGGTTTTCTCCAGGAAAGCTATTTGAGTGACACTGTAGAACAATATAAAGCATTTGCCTGGTCCTCCACCAGCTAACCGTAACATTGAACGCTGGGACCTCCGTTTCTGTGCTATAAGAAGTTGGAATGGGTGATTTCTAAGGTACCTTCTGTGCTGTCAGAGGCTTTGAGCCGTAAGCACAGTTAGGTGATGCAGTAGAAACAGGGACACAGTGGTAGTGATGGTGAAGGTGGTGAAGGTGATGTAGTACCAATAGTTACGATTAATAAATGACCAGTCAGGAAACCTGTCACTTGTACCATAAAGAAGCCATTGAAAGAAATGTTGGAGGCAGTCTGTGCCACTTTTTCTTGAAACCTCTCATCTTTCTGCTATTTGTTGGAACTTCCTACCTTTAATAATGAGCACTTACTTTTTGCTGAGTCCTTTACACACATGAGCTCATTCAGTCCTTCCAGCAGCTTATTTTACACGAGGTGCTGAGACTCAGGTGGTCAGGACTTCCCCCAGGTCACCTGTTGAGAGGTGTAGACCACAATGCTCCCACTTCCCTTCGTCTTGACCACTTTCCTCTTTGTTTTTGTTTTATCTTTTTTTCCGAGGCATGCCACTGGCACCAAAATAAAGAGGCTTGCCAGCTCCTAATCTGGATAATTTGTAGAATTTATCTTAACATTCACATGGAGACCTTCAGACTGTCCACCAAACCCTGAGTTACTGGAGCTCTTTGTGTTGATTGGCTTAGTGAATACATTGTAGAGCAGTAAGTTCCCTGTGTGGAGTGTTTGCAGAGAGGCTGGATGACCGTGTCTTGGATTTTTTTTTAGCATTTTTATGCATTACCTGGGGGTGGACATGACACCCACCAGGATCCCTCCTATACTTAGGATTTTCTGATATGCATAAGCACTTGGCAGCTTCTGAAACGCATGATGGGATCTTAACCTTTCCTCTCCTCTTCCCCTTGCCTTGCTCAGAACACCTGGCCAGCTAAGGCTAGAAAAGACTTGAGTGGCCCTGGCCAGTTTGGCTCAGTGGTTAGAGTGTCGGACTGCAGACTTAACTGAAGGCTCCCTGGTTCAGTTCTAGCTAAGGGCATGTACTTCACTTGCAGGCTCGATCCCTGGCTGTGGTCGGGGCGCGGGCAGGAGGCAACCAGTCAATGAGTCTCTCTCACATTGATGTTTCTCTCTCTCTCTTCCTTCCACTCTCTCTAAAAAGCAGTAAAAAAAATATGCTCAGTTAAATACTTCCAACAATAAAGATGAATTTTTTTAAAAAACCATAGAAGTGGATGAGAATAAATGAGAGATGATTGGAAATAAAGAATCAAGGTGGTTTTCAAAAGAAAAAAAAAAGTGAGACTACCATATCAAAAAAAAAAGAAAGAAAAAATATCCTCAAGTGAGGATTATAAAAAAGAAAAGACGGGTGTATATGGTAAGAATTTCCAAATGTTGGAGTTGGAAAGAATCCTTGGGATCCTTGAGTCCAGACCATCATTTGGCGTCTGAGGCCTGGAGAATGTAAGCAGAGTTAATGGGGCCTCCCACTGTTTCCCGCAGAGCCCACTCCCCAGGGACTCTGTCCTAAAATTTTTATCTACCAAACAAAGGGAATATATTGTGTTGCTATTTACTCATTCCATCAGTTTCACTGTTGATCAGAAGTTTAACCCGTAAACTTAGGATAGTGTCTAGCACAGAGTAGGTGTCTGACATGCTGATTGGGTAAACTCATGATTCCAGAGTCATTGAGGGCTTACAACTGTACGGCAAAGTCACAGATTGCTGTCTTGACTTTGACAGTAGTAACATGCTTAAGTAAATCTGCAGGCTGTCCATTGCTCAGCTCCACACTGGGGCTGCCACACTCTCCTCTGGTCCAAGGATTTCCAGGGGTCCTTTACAGCTCATGTTCTGCTCTGTGGCTCCATTCACATCTGAGAAGTTCCATGGGTGTCATCAACCAGTCAGAGCTTCAGGTCAGATGGAAAACCCAGACCCACCACTGATCCTGTCCCACCCAGAGTCCACCCAGCCATGAAGAAGGCTCTCATGCCTGGTCTGGGGAAACACAGCTTTCCAGCAGGCTCTTAAAGTACCAAAACTTCCTTGTGCCCTCTTGCCCCCATTTTGGTCACCACTGCCCTTCCCCATACTTCTAGTGTGGCTGCTCTTAACTCCTAGAGAAGCAGCTGGAAGACACCAAAGAACAAACCAGGCCTGCCTGTCACTCAGTTTGAACCAGTGGAGCTGATGCGCGTCATTCAGGTTTGGGCTGCAGTGTCCTACCTCCCGTGCTCCTCACTGAGCCTCACCCTGAGGGCGAGGCCTTACTCCCATGGCCTACACATCCTTGCTTGTGCAGCAGCAGCCCTGCCATTGGCCAGCAAAGACATGCATCTTGGGGTTTTTCAATCTAGCGCGTGTCCTTTCACACTCCAGATACAGTGGTACCTGAGTTTTCTAACGTCTCTGTTGATGAATGTTTCGGTTTATGAACGCCATAAACCCAGAAGTAAATGCTTCGGTTTTCGAACACACCTCAGAAGTCAAACGTGCCACACGGCTTCCGCTGAGTGCAAGATCCTGAGGCCTAGCTGTTGATCCCTTGGTTTTAGAACGTTTCAGAACTCAAACGTTCTTCCAGAATGGATTACATTCGAAAACCGAGGTACCACTGTAATTGGAAAGCCTCTGCTAGGCCCCTGAGCGGTGGGTGAACTTAGCACATAACATGAGGCAGCAGCCCAGTGCTCCCACCATAGTGCACAGGGCAGGTAGAGACGTGGGAACTACACAGACCTGGTTCCCTGCTTGCCCAGAGCTTCCCTGGAGAAGCCCACACTTCTGCCTGTGCCCAGAGCCCCTCTTTGGCTCCTTCCCAGGCTGGGATAACCCAAGTCTGAAGTGCCAGTGAGCACAGCGGGTCCACCAGGTGTGGGTTTGGGAAGGGGAAGTGGCAAGGTCTGTTCTGAAACTGGTGCCCTCCTGTGCCCAAGGCCTGCCCAGGCCACCGTTCCGCTGGCAGGTGCCGCTGGCCCGGTTCCCAGGAGGAAGCCCCTCTGAAAGACTGGAATGAAGGAGCGGAGCAGGGTCTATGCATGACAGGTGGCCTTCTGGGGGCTGGGCCCCTGCTTCTACAACCCACCAACTGTCAAGGAGCTAAAGTACAGCTTGAGGGCTTGGCCGACCTGAGTGGACATTTGTCCAGCCCACTTCAGGGAGTTGGCAAGGCTGCTGGGCTCAGAGTCTACAAGCTCAGGATCCATCAGGCCCTGCCCACCCCAGACTTACTAGCTTCCCAAACCTTCAGGTTCTTGGTCTGCCCCTCCGAGCTGCATGAGACAGGTTCTCCCTGTGCTCACCCTGCAGCTGAGTGAACAAAGCAGGCTCTCGGCTGGTCGGCAGCAGATTGCTGGCTTCATCCCATCGCTGACCAGCGGCAGACTGGTATCCCCGAGGGGCCTCCACACAGCACGCAGTTGGTTGAGCGCCAGCTTATCTTGTTATTCTTCTAGGAAGATGATGAGAAGCTGATTGAGGAAATCCAGAAGGAGGCTGAAGAGGAACAGAAAAGAAAGAATGGAGGTAAGTGCCCCCCTACTCCTAGCACAGGCCCCTCGCCCAGTGCACTCCCCACTGCTGGCCCACCCTGGGGATCCTGGCACTCTTCCCGACCAGGGACCACCCAGGTAGTGCGGTTCCTCAGGTGGCTCTAGATACGCTTCAGCCCCATGTCCTGCACCCTGTGGAAAGGCCATGAAAGCTTAGATACAGTTCCAGCATCTCCTTGATGGCAAGAAGGTCCCAAGGGGTAGGTTTCAGCTTAGGAAGCAAGTAGCAGCCAGATCAGACTAAGACGACAGTAGGCCCACCCTGAGGTTAAAAGGAATGAAATGGTATTCCTGTGAGGTGCCCTCTGGGCCCTGGCTCTAAAGGGGAGTCTCTCAGAACCTCATCCTGTTCTGAACTGGATCAGTCCCCCCACTTCCAAGGTGATCACTATGGGGTGTAATACTCGGATGAAAATGTGATTTTGTTCTTAGTGACGGCTGGCGGGGGTTGGAGGGGAGGTCCGTGTGTCTGCTGTTTTATACTTTAATCGCCAGCCCTCCTGTGTACCCAGGTAAGAATGATGCTGAAGGTCACAGGTTCCTGGCCTCGCCTCCTTCTCCGGGCTCTCAGCCCCCAGCTCAGGGCAGGTGGGACCAGGATCAGGATGTACACCCAGGTCCCAAGCCAGATCCAGGCACAATTGACTTTAACTGTTTTCTCTACTAAACCCCATCTCCTTTTCAGAGAACACCTTCAAACGCATCGGGCCCCCCTTAGAGAAGCCTCCAGAGAAAGTTCAGAGGATCGAAGCCCTGCCCAGACCTGTCCCGCAGAACCTGCACCAGCCTCAGATTCCCCCCTATGCCTTTGTTCACCCACCCTTTCCTCTGCCACCTGTCAGGCCCATGTTCAACAACTTCCCCCTCAACATGGGTCCCATCCCAGCCCCCTACGTGCCTCCTCTGCCCAACGTGCGGGTCAACTACGAGTTTGCCCCCATGCACCTGCCCCTGGAGCACAACTTGCCCATGCACTTTGGTCCCCAGCCACGCCATCGCTTCTGACACCTGAGCCCTGCCCCTCCTGGGAGCCCTACTGCGCAGCATGTGCAGGCAGGGGTTGGATAGATCCCTGTTCACCCCCACGGCCCTTGGCTCTGCCCATGCTTTTTAGGAGGGACGATGGGCCCGGCTCCTGAAAGCATAGGCTGGTCTTCCCACCCCTTCCTGGGAAAGCCACTTCCCCTCAAATAGGAGCTGGCAGGCTAGTTCTTGCTGGCCAGAGAGAAGGGGGCAGCAACACCCTTTAAAGAGTTCTGCCATCCTAGAGCCAGTGCAGGGGCCTGGCCACAAGTTCATCTTTTCTGCTGTTACCCACCTCCCTGCAGAAAGAGAAAAGGGAAACATTTGCCTCCATCCCCTCGCCCACTAGACAACAGAAGTCTCAGTTACAAACACAAAGACCTTCCTTACCATAGCGCTGTCTGGTTCACAATAAAGCTGAAGTTACAAATAGTGCTGCTTGGAGAGAGCTGAGGCGTGGGCCAATCACCAAGGCCAGGGCCTGCTGCCACCCCCTTCACTGAGGCCCACCCAGAGTGAGGTGCCCAGCTGCTCTGAGTCCGCTTGCCCCAGTGAAGAGGGCAGAGCGGCAGCCACAGGCCCAAGAGCACCACGCAGGATGGGGAAGCTGCAGACCATTCCCCCACATCCAGAACCCCAGGACACCACCATGGTGACAGTTCTGGGGTCTGCCCTCTTCCCTCTTGGCCCTCTCAGATGAAACCATCTTGTGCTGTGGGCTCATTTTGTGATTTACCTAAGATGTTTGCCTTTGACTTTACCCAGCTCTCTGGCCCACTAGACTCTCCCCTGGTCTCTGGAAAGTCACATGTTATCCCAAATCAGGCAGCCTGTGCCGTCCAGATGGCCTTGGAGCTTTTGCCAAATAAAAGGTCCTTTTGAGGCAGCTGTAACTGGTCTGGTGGCTCTCCCAGGCAGCAATTACTGGGGAGCCTTCTCTGTCTCCAAACAGGCAATGAACAGCTCCCCTAAGGTTTGGTGGGGACAGTGGGTTTCCCCAGGCGGATAGGTGACCCAGATTATGCTTAGCACCCACCCAGGGTGCCGCCCCGCCAGGTGCTCTGCAGGCCTAGCAGCTGCCCTTTCCTGAGGTTAGGTGAGACTCATTCTGGATCTGCCTGGGGTCCTTGCCATGTCCTCACTCCCTTGTCTCATTCGGCCCCAGCCTGGGGTTTGAGCCACATCTGAGGCTTCACCCACCCCCTTAGTGGTATGTCATACCCCAGCCATGTGCAGAGCAGAGGCTCAGCTGTGACCGAGCCTGCCCAGCCCTGTATTGGCCTCTATCTGCTGCTATGTCTCTGAGGCCTGTGGGGTTCCCAGAAGTTCAGAGCACACTCACAGGCCTCCGAGAGGAGGGGGAGCCAGTGACTCCTCCCTGACCCTGTTTCACTCTCCTGCAGCCAGAGGCCTGCACCGCCCAGGCCTGCTCACTTCTATCGGGACACTAGCAGCACTATTTGGTCACCTGCTGCCAATGACTTCTCAGATGTATTTTAAGAATTTAAAATGGAGTAAATGTGCTGAGTTGCACCTGACTGCCTCTCCCCCAGTGGAGGGCTGTGCAGCAGCTGGTCATCTGGGCATGGGATGGGGCCCATGGGACAGGCCTGCACCGCTCTCCACTGCCGGAGCTCCTCCATGGGGGCTGCCTTCACCTCACTGCCAGCCTGAACGGCAGTGACAATACCTTGAAAGCATGTGCCCTGTGCTTCCCCAAGGGAGGGTCTCTGAGAGCAGTGAACCCCCAACAGACATCCTACCAATGTGGAGAGTGAGCTCACACACTGTCTTGCCCCACTAGTGACAGCGCTCACCCTGGCCTCCTAGGCCTTAGCAGGTTCATTCCACCGCTTCCCCACAGCTGGGGGTATGTGGCTTCATGGAGGGCCGGAGGCGGGTGGCATGCCCATCATTGCCATTCAGCAAGTCCCTTAGCGCCTGGCATACAAAGGACCATAGTAATGGTTCCCCCCCAAGGCCAACCCGAGACCCTGTGCTTTGAGAAGGATTCTGCCTATTTCTAGGCCCACACGGCTGCTCAGGAGGCATTCCTGCCAGCACCAAACATTCTGCTCACCAGACGGGGGGATTCACAGGTCTGCAGATGTGGGATAGTCACTTGCCATGAGTTCTGACCCTGCATGACCCTCTAGGCACCTGTGTCCTAGAGGCAGGACCTGGATCCTGGGCTCCTGGAGAAGCAGGCATACTAGCTCACAGGGTTTGGGGAAGAGATGGGGCCATAATCATCTTGCAAGCCAGCAAGTGGCTGCAAGATGCAAATGACAGGAAACCCGCAAAGAGCCCCTTTCTGGGGGACAAAGCAGGACCCCCAGAGGCACCTGGCACCTTCCCCTCTCTGGGCCAAGTGCTTGCTCCCCGGAGCAAGAGACTGCCCAGCGACAGTCCCGTTCCACTTGCCTTAAACTGGAGAGAGGAATCTAGTATTTGCACTTAGTAAAGGATTTTAAGAATTAAAAAAGTGCATGACCTGTCACTTTGTATAAAAATAGTAAAGATAATTACTAGATGTTTTCTTTACTTTCTGGTAGTAAAAATACATAAAATAATTGTTTTAACTACTGTGTGTAAAAAGCCTGTATCATATGTACCTTGGACTTTTTGTAAATAAATGTTTGTGCACTCTGCTCCCTCTGATTTTGTTTCTTCGCACGCCCCCCCCCCC